AAAGAGGACTGCGTAACCGAGGTGATCGGTCCCAGTGATCCCAGTAAGCGAGCAGTAGCAGTATGGGCCAAGGAGAGGAGATGCAATGGCAGCAGCAAATTGCACTTGAGGTGCCTGTGATGCTCAATATGCCGAAGGCGAAACTAGTCCCCCGCTGAAATGGAGACAAAAGCATTTTAGCACTTGTCTGACCTGCTGAGAGAATTTTTTTAAAAAAAAATTTAAAACTGAAGAGCTCAGTATTTTTGTATTTCTTCATTTCCAAATTGGGGGGGAAAAAAACCCTGTTTTTTTTATATTCAATCTCCTTTATTCTGTGTTCAAAAAGGGGTGTGATGGTAAGGAAAACTAGCAGCTTGAATGTCATGAACTTATTAAAGAAAAATGTGAAGGGAAGACAAAGTCATTGAAACCATATTTTACTAAAAATACGGAAGAATAAATTGGAACAGGTATACTTGTGCAGTTTGTCATATAGCATATAAGTACAGTGGGTGGCCTTTAAACTGCATACTTGAATGCTAACAAAGTTCCTCATTATAAAACAGAAAATGTGATAGGAACTGGCAGAACTACCGTGCTGGTGGGATATTTAATGTGCACCCTCTGTAAGCCCTGCACAGCACATTTGATCCACGATATTAGCAAGAAAAGTGCTTTCCTCTTCGGCAGCATCGTCCAGATTAACTCTGCCGTTCCCGTGCCAGCTCCTGCGTGTGACACCATATGGACTCCTGGACTCGTCACCCCGACTGATGGCACCCTGCACTGGGTCACCACCTACCCCTGCCCGCAGCAGCTCCGGGCGGTGGGATTTCGAGGTGACTGAGCTCAGCTCTGGGGCAGGTGGGTGGAAAGTTTTGCTGCTTGAGCCGGCACGAGCTGTCTTGCTGCTGGGTGCTGAGCCCTCTGCTCTCGTGCCGCCTTCTTGTCCTGGCACGTCCCTGCCCCGGAGGGGTTTGCTGTGGAGCCAGCTCCATCCTTTGTGCCAGCTGAGAGGCTTTTCCATGCTGGGGGAAGCCTTAGAAGGGCTTTTAGGAATAATTTACATTTCCTTTGATCCAGGAGCTCTGCAGGTAAAGAACTAAGGCTATTAGAGCAAGCAATAACTAGCTGCTGCACTTGAACCTCCTGGGGAAGGGAATGGGCTCTTCTCTACCAGGCTGGAATAACCGCTCCGCATTTCTCCCTGGTCCAGTGCACAGAGAGTGGCTTTAAAAGGGGTTGGATTGTGCACAGCAGAGGCAGGAGCAGGGCCCTGCCAGTGTGCATTCAAGGCCAGTCGGGAGTGTCCTGGAAGAAAAGTTGAAATTCACCTTTTGTGGACTCAGGCGTAACATCGCATCCTTTTTGTGCACGGCATGGCCACAGACAGGTGGTGGTTACTGTTTGTTGCCAAAAGGCCAAAGAAAAGTGTTGTGTGCATAGAATCATGGAATGCTTTGGGTGGGAAGGGACCTTTAGAGCGCCCCCAGCCCAGCCCCTGCAGCGAGCAGGGACAGCTTTACCCAGCCCAGGGTGCTCACAGCCCCGTCCAACCTGGCCTGGGATGTTCCCAGGGATGGGGCCTCCACCGCCTTTCTGGGCAACCTGTGCCAGTGCCTCACCACCCTCCTCGTAAAAAATTTCTTCCTTATATCCAGTCTAAATCCATTCTTCTTTAGTTTAAATCCATCACTCCTTGTCCTGTCCCAACAGGCCTTGCTAAAAGCTTGCCCCCACCCTTCCTATCAGCCCCTTTTCACTCTCCGCTGCCAGGCAACTACCACCCTCCTCTCCAGGCTGAGCACCCCCAGCCCCCCAAGCCTGGCCCCGCAGCAGAGGGGCTCCGGCCCTCGGGGCATTTCTGTGGCCTCCTCTGGCCCCGCTCCAGCAGCTCCGTGTCCTGCTGGTGCATCTCCTGGGTTTGTTACTCCCGTGCTCCTGAGCGACCTTGGGGCGTTGGGAGGGACGCGGCCATGCCCAGCGGGGGACACCAGCCAAGCCGCCCCGCTGGCACGGGCCACCCCTGCACGGTGGCTTCCATCAGGGCTCTCCTGCTGACAGACGGGGAGCAGGGAAGAAACCCAGGACACCACCGACAGGAGTGCCCGAAGGAGACCCTGGGCAGCACAGAAAGGGAGGCTATTAAGGTAATTTCAGTGTCTGCTTCACACTGCTTTTGTCACTCTGGACAAGGAATGAGTTTGGGTTTGGGTATTCTTCCAAAGTGCTGTCAAAGGCACAGCGGACGCTTGCGTTATTCACCAGGTCCCCATCAGGGCAGGGTACATTTCGCCATCGTCCTTATTTCAGAACCGATTTTGACTGGGAGTGTGTCTGTGTTGATGATGGGGAGCTGACACACACAGGCACATTTTCATTCCTTTAAATACACCAGCAGTGACTCTGGCTTGCAGTGAGTAATCTTTTTTCCAGTGTAAGCATCTTGGACCCACATGTATCTTTGCTCCTAACTTCAGGCTGGTGAATGGAAAGAAGAGCTGAAGATGTGCTAAAGGCAAGAGTCTGAGTCCGAGGACATGGAAAATAGCACGATCTGGGCTGCAATTTCTGGTGCGACGTAGGAGACCGTATCAACATAGATCCAGAACCTTGAGTAATATTGTCCTGTGGTTTGATTTCCATTCTGGCACACTAAATGCAGTAAGGCCCAGGTTTTTCATGGCACTTTCTATTTTTTGATTTAGAGAATTTGAAAAATACTTGTCTTGAGGCTGAGCCTGAAGCTATAATCTTGGCATATCCATACCATAAAATTCCCGTGGATAAAAGCAGAAACATCTGGATTCATGAGTGGATGTTGGCTAAATCCACCAGAAAAAAAAAAGCCTTCAAGGGATCCTAGAGGGTTTTAGCCAGAATAAATAATACAACAAAATAAGAGTGCTATTAAGAGTAATTGTAATACTGAAGTTGAATTATAAGATGAGGGCCAAGCCCTTTTCACAATCTGCTTTTCCAGCTAAGAGCCCTTCAATTTACACTTAACACACATGTGGCTGATGGAACAAAGAAAAAATTGAAGAAGGATGAAAGCAGTGCAGAGATTATTCAGCCTTGCTGGTTTAGCTCCAGGCACATCATTTAAATGAGTAGATGATCAGTTTCCAGTTTGTTTTAAATTCTCTGGCAAGAAATTTTACACTTTATCCCAAAGTTGGATGTGCTTAAAACTTTTTTTTAAGGCTCTGCCATTTTGTTTTATTTCTTAAGGCAAGACTCTGAAAGTGCTCTGCAGGAGTCACCTGAGTGCTGGGACTGGAGGAGCAGCCTGGCTGTGTCACCGGTGGGGCCATGTCCCCGCTCCCAAACCACGGGGACCCTGGGACTGGGGAACATTGCTCCTTTTCTCCCTCACCCCTGGGAGGCTGAGCCCTGCCTTGCTGAGCCAGATGTTATAGCTAAGCTCAGCAGCACCCAGATTCAAGGGAAGTGGCCAAACCCACTGCATCCCACAGACTTGCAGCCTCTTTGGCTGCACCCTGTTGTACCAGCACCGCTTGCCTGGTTTAAAGCTAGTGAAAGCAGAAAGGTATGTATTGCTTGCCCCTTGCATCTCCGTGTTTCCAAGGTTGAGAGCTGCTGAACAGCACATCCTGTCACCACCCAGCCCCTTCTGTGTGGGTCTCCTCCACCTGCCTTGTGCCAAGTCTCCAAAGCTGCCACGAGCACCAGGTCATGCAGCATGTCTTCCCCTGCTGTGACGGGTGAACTACACCCACAGCCAGGCGATTAAAAAGTTGTATGTTGCTGAAAATGCCCTTAATGCACCATCCCTCCCCAACAGATGTAGTCAGCATTTCTCATTACCTGTACTTTGTCCGTGCAGATCTGCATTACTGACCCTCACTGACCTTGCATGTTGCGTTTCCCAATTCCTGGAAAGCCTTGGGCATTTGCCTGCTCAGTAACCTTCAGCCAACGCAGCTTGGCGTGAGTCGCTTCCTTGTGGAATAAAAACCCTATCAGTCACTCCTTGTCCCGTCCTCCCTCCTTGTTGCCATCGTCTTCCCTGCTGTGCATATCACAGCCAACCAGTTGAGTAGGTCCTGAGGGAGCTGCTCTGTTGGTACCGCTCTAATAGGCCCTCCTCCATGGGGAGACTTTAGGTTGTTCTCCATGGAGGTGTTTCCTGTGATGCACTACCAAAGCTTAATGCTCTCTGAAGACTGCCGCTAGGCTCTGAACAGTGGCATACATGTTTGGGGCGAGGCAATACTTGAAGTATGACTGGAAATACCAATGATACACAAACGGTGACATTTACGCTGCCTTATGTTCTATACAAGGAATAATCCTGTTTATACTATAAGGAGTGGGAGTTCAACTGGCCTTAAAATAGCCTCAACACATCTAGGAAATCCGTAAAAAAGGATGCCCCAGTATTTCTTAGGACATTATTTTCAGCAGATCTTGTCATTTAATTTGCTGCCAACATCTGTCATTTCCTCTACTGCGTGTTTCCCAGCACCCACAGCCTGGGCCTGAACCAAAAAAGCTCACGGGACCTGATGCAAAAAATTCAGAGCGCTGCTCTCTATTCGCATGGTATAGCATCTGGACTGTCAAAGGGAAACGAGGAAATACATCTGCTCATAGGTGTTAAAAAATATTTGTTTTACATTAGCTGCTATCACTGCCACTGTCCACATTTGCAGTTGTATTCTTCTACCTAACCTGAAGCTGAAGGCAATAGGAAGGTCTGCTGAAACTGCAGGGCTCTCTGTTAGGAACAAATAGTTCAAGAAGCTGAGGAATGAGAGATGAAGCAGAGCTAAATTTAGAATCTCAGATAAGAATATATCTGTATCTTCAGTGCTCTGTGGTTTTATTTTGCTCTACACAAAGCACACCTTGGTTTTGCATGGCTGTTTGCAGATTGTACGGACTCAAAGAAGGCTTGTGGAAAAAAAAAAAGGCTTTGATGTCTTCAGTAAACAAATAGCAGTGTTAAAAGATCTTCAGTTCTTGTTAGCATGCTGCAAACAGCTATGTTTGAAGAAAAATAAACATCCCAAGGTTGATGGAAGGGTAGGAAAGCCATAAAGTAGTGCAGTCAAATCTCTGGTATGAGGACATCAGAAATAACAGTGCCATGAAAAAAACTCCTTTTGGATTACGAAGAAAAGAACAAACTGGCGTGTGGTTTACCAGCCACGCAGTGGGAATACACGGGTATAAAACCCCATGGCTAAATCATTGCCATCCAAATCACAAGAATACTGTCAAGTCCACTGGAAAACCAAAGGTCGGAGTCCCCCGGGGATCTTCCCCTCCAACCACTGGGGTGAGGGGAAGAATACTCGGCCTTCCTCCAACCCCCCTTTTGACTCAGCTTCCTCAGTGCTTCACCCGCTGCCACAGGGCCACCAGCACCTCTTAACCCTTGCAGCTACGGGACCTCGTCCCAAAAAATCCTCATCGGCTTTTACGCTGTGCGACCAGCCTGTTTCTGTGAGGAGGCACCAGGCACGCATCGCGCTCTCAGTGAGGAGGACGAGGATTTCGCGGCCGTGTGCCTACCTGAGCTTTTACTCTGTAAAGCTTGTTGTACTTGTCTCATTGCATAACTTACAACACCCCTTTGGAAATGCGAAAGCTTAGGAAATGAACCAAAGAAAAGAGCTAAATAATGATCTCAATTACACCAGCGTAACCCTGGGGATGTTAATTTACATTTATGTCCTTTTAACAATCCAAATTTGGTTCAGAACAAGGCAGTTTGAGTTTTCTCTGTAAAGGGAAATTAAAAATCGGCAGGTCATGATAATAATCGATACACCAATATTTACTGCAAATTTAAATCTTATCAAGAGCCTCTAGGGAGCCTCTGGCTTTAGTTTCGTGTAATTCCAAGCATTTCTCTGTTTAAAGAGAGTTCACAGGAGCTAGGAAATAATTCAGACATAGTTGACTTTTTAAAGTCTCTGTAGCATCACTAACATCTTTCCTTTGATAATGTTTTTGTTCTGCCTACCAAAGCTCCATTCCAAATGGGACTGGCAAGGCAAACACTCCATCCAACGACACAGGGCTTATAAGAAAAAACAGGGGAAAAAAGCAAAAATTCTGGAAAAAAATGCTTATAATCCCAAAGGTAATTAGTATCCCTCTGGTAATTTCACATAAGCTCTTCACTTTCACTGTGAGCCTCTCCCTGTTGGACTCACAGCGAGGGTTTGTAGCAAAAGTCAAGGCAGAGACGGTTCGTAATAAACAGAAGCTCCTTAGAGACCGTAGCCATGGCATGTGAGAGCTGTTTACCTGGCACGATGAAGCATTATTCTGTTTATCTTCGGATGTTCCTACAGAAACAGAAGGTATTACAGTGTAGTAAATAAGGCCCCTTCACCACCAGTAACATGTTTTTGTTTTTTTTTTTTTTTCCAGACTCGTGTCCCTTCACTTTCAGCTGCAGAAAGCCCATCCTGTGATTTCTGAATTACTCCTTCATCCATCTTCCCAAGAGGACAGACTGCTTCCCGGTGCAGAGAGAGCCAGAAACTTGCTGACAGCAACTGGGGTTGTTGTTTCCAACACTGACCTTCCCATCGCAGCCAGAATTAAACCGGCACCCTCAGTGCCAGCAGCATCTGCAGGACACGGCTGCGTCCTCCAGAGCAGAACCACCTTCTCCCCAGGGAGAGTTATTGTTGATGTAACGTGTTTGTAGCAGGGAAATTTAGAGCGAATAGGCTCTAGCCTGCGACTTGAAATCAAGTGAATCGCACAGCTAATGCTGTTGGTGTCTTTGATTGCCCCAGATGTGAAAGATAAGGCCCCTGAGAGCTCTGAGAGGCACTTTTGGAGGCTGGAGGTCGCTCCTAGGATCTGTTCCTTGGCACGGTGTGGGAAAGGCCTTTGATTTCAAAGGGATTAGGGCTGGGTGCCTCCCACTGCTCATCAGACTGGAGCCCTGTTTCTCCCTACCTGCCACAGCAAATATTTTGATTACAAGAGCCAAAGCAATTGTGTTGTGTACTTTATCATATGCAATCCCGGAGGCACACTGCTGATAACCATCAAACTCATTTCAGACCTGTGGTCCCATCCCGTTCCCCGCCCCGCTGGAGTGCTGCCACCAGCCAGGGTGGCACTGGGTACCACCATGTGCCCCAGGGCACGTCCCGATCCTCCTAAAGGAGACTCAAATGGGACAGTCACGCTTCTGGGTCAGCTTGCATGGCGGTGGCTCCTCAGGCTACTGCAATGACAATGTCCCCTCCGTGTGGCGGGGGAAAGCAGAGTGGCAATTTTAAGAAGCAGTAATTTTACCATTGAACTTACGCCTTTGAAGATCCTGTAATAACTAATTCACCCCGTCGGGTGGGATTCAGCACTGAACTGATTTATGGTGTAGCGCAGCGGGGCTGTGTGGAGCATGTTTATTCAAATAACAGCAGCCCTCTTTATCAAACACTATTCCACTTCTAGTTTAATTAAAACACAATTAGCAGGGCTTGCAAATTTCTTAAATGTGCCCAATCTTCTATGAAATTAATATTAATCTCTGTTCAATGTGCAAGTCAGTAAAGTGACACGTGGAAAATTACACGTTCTTGACTCAGGAATGCAAATCGGAGGATGACTTCACGTTCCTGAATGAGAAGATCGACATGCCAGATGTGCCTAGTGCCTGACCCCTTATAAAGGCTCTAAAAGATCACACGTAACGTTAAAATGTCATTTCATTGCATGCAGAAGGAAGAAAGAGAGCCTGATAGCTTTATGTTACTGAGCTTCCCATTTAATTTGGTTAGGGTGGTGTGAATGTCTTAATAACATGAAGCAGAGCCCTGATCTCTGTTCTGGCTGCATGTTTCTAATAGACACCCTAATGCCTTTCTCATGGCCGGAGTGTTTAACAATCCATATTTTCCTGCCATTAATTAGAAGTTGTATTTCATTCTCTGATGAAGAGCGAGCCTCACAGTGTAGCTGACAAGTTTGCAGTCCTCGCTTTGAGTCATGCATTGAATTTTACTGACTTGTTTTATCTGGAGATAAAAGCAACAAATGTGAGTACAGAATTAATACGTACTTTAAACTAACTGTGTTTTTAAGTCACAAAAATCAGGTGGCATTCAGTCTTTCCTGCTCTTACCATTTCCCCTGCTATAGACTCAAATGTCCTTTCTCTTCCCTTGCCCAACTGCTCACTCCCAAAATCCTGAAAGTTAATTAAAAAGAAAAGTATCTGGAGAGTGATCCAGGTCTCTGTCTTTAATAAGCGTGTCCCCATAGCAAATTATATAACAGCATTTTGTACACTTGTATTTTTCCTCTCCCCCAGCACATTCCACGCACCTACACAGTCATGCTAATTAGATCATGTAATAAACTTAAACGTGGCAAAAAAATCTGTTCACAGGGTGTTGCAAGACAGAGTTGGACTTGGAAAGCAGCCACTCATGAGTTTTGTTTTGTTTGAGAAAACCCAAAGGATGTTATTTTACTGAAGATGAAGCAAACCCCATGTAATAGGAGCTGTAATCTAAGGAGATGAATTATTTTATTTAAATAGTCCTCAGTGAGCCCTGATATAAGGGCTTGCTTACATGAAAAAAAAAAAAGTTTAACAAAGCCATTAAAAATAACTAAATGTAAAATAAAAAACAAACTAAAATTAGGTTAAACTTGATTAGTTTAGTTAAACTTAACTAAGCTTAACTAATTAGTTTAGTTAAACTTAACTAATCAAAACTAAACTAATGTTAATCCATAATGTATACCTAGAAAGGAGCCAAGTAGCAAGGAACTTTGAGCATCAGGTGTCTTTTAAGTGAAAAGAAGTGTCTACCTGGATATGGGGATAAATTCAAAATGCGCCTCCATCAATTTTTCTATAGATGGTCTTCAGCTGTGCATAACAGAGTAATCCCTGCGTTCACGGGGTAACGCAGGAGAGTGAGAACGCAGCCTTCCCTGACACAGCACCTCAGCAGTGCCGCCCTACCCGGCACGCTCATGTCTAGGGAAAAGAGTAATTCTGAGCACTCCGCGCGTTTGCCAGCAACGTTTAATGGGTCCCGGGTTTTACGATACAGTCAGTAACGTGATCGGCTGTCAGGTAGGCGTTGCTTCCTAATTTCAGTTCAGCTGCTAAAAGTTTTGGCCACTGGTGCACTGAATCTCATTTAAACCTGTAGAGCTATTGAGTCGGCTCTTAAATATAACCGCAATAATTTTCCTCTAGACAGACTGGGAGCATTACCAGATGACTGCACTTCTGCAAAGCTAACAAAGGCAGTGACACGGAGCATGGAAAAATGACATGTTATGAAACACACGGGAGAAGGAGCTGAGGTTGTGGCCGGGTAGTGGTGTGGTGGTCCGGGAAAAGCCAGTTCCCTGCCTGCAGATTTCATCCCACTGCCATTAATGAAGTATGACGATAACTTTCAGCTATATCCCTGACCAACACTAGATGTTGCTATGCTGCTACTCATATAAGCTATACATTAGCGAGGCTTTTAAACGGTATTTACTGCAATTTCCCCTTTCCTGTTGCTGTTATTCACTATATCGTGAATGCCGGGTGAGCTGCTACTTTAATTTACTTTTTTTTTGAAGTTTCAATTTTATTTGTATAATATCAAGTTTATATCCCCCTCAAATGTACACGTAAAACTTTACAAGCAACAGAGACTCTTATAAGTGATAACATGAAGCAACTCCTATATGAACGTCAAATATTTACTTAAACTCTGCTTCTGGATTTTTTGCAATCCAAGGGGAATGACATTGTTAACTGGACGATTCCGGGAACAGACTGACAGCTGCAAGGCCACGGAGGGAAGTTTGTTTATAAAGGGGGAGGGGGGGGGGGAAGCATATAAAAAATTTAAAACACTGTTTCGCCCTGCTGGGTTTCAGGCTTTCTACTCCCACATGTTTGAGTGGGAGAAAGGACAAATCTTAGGACGTTGATTTCCCCATGGCAACAGAAAACGGAAATTACTTTAACCCCATCTAGTGACAGATGACTCATTGCTCAGCCTGCTGCTATTTTCCAAGCACTAAAACAATACAGCTGCAAAGAAAAGGCCAGCCTATATTATCTCATAGGCTGAGCGCTGGGGCTCGTGGGAGAGGGCAATTTTCTGGCTGCCTTTTTATCAAAGACAGACAGAGCCGGAGCCTTTTGGCGATTCTTTTATTGTGTAAGGCAAATGTGCCCGCGCGCTCTCCGTCCCCGCGCCGCTGGAGGGCAAACCCGTGGTGTCCCCGGGACGGAGGTGATGCAGCGCCCGAGGGGTGAGCTGCTGGCGGGTGTCCTGCTGCTTGGTCCTCCTCGCCCTTCATCCAGTGGTCCAACGGGGCACGTCTGTGCTTTCGGTTTAAACAACCCCCCCTTGAATTATGGGCAATGAACCGTGCATGCGATAGAGGAATGATTCCTTCACAAATGCAGCCCAGTGAGGCGACAGCAGGTATGAGCAACGTTTCCAGGCCCCTACGTATGAAAAAGATATCTGATGGCAGAAGTGCATTTCTGTATTGCTGGGTAAGTCATAACAAGATCCCACAGGAAAGGCGGAAATAGAAACAGGCAGCTTTGAAATCTTAATTATCCTAGGTGAAAGGGTAATTAGGGAGAGCGGTTTCTGAGCAAGGACGGCGGAACCGTTATCACTTGGAGTCCTGGAACCCAGATGAGGTGTTGCTGTGAAAGACAAGCTTCAGTCCAGCTCGTAGGATGAAGAGGTAAGCTCAGGAGGTCAGCCTTAATGGCCGTATCTCTCTTCTTGCACCTTAGACCCCTTGCAGCAGAGCTGCACAGAGCTACCAGCTCATCTGAGGAGCTCCTCTGTTGAGCATCTCCAGCATCTGGACGACAACTCTTACTCAGCACCTGCTGGGCATGGCAGAGAAGGGCTGTTCTGGAGAGGAGCTGGTTTGAGCTCATGGATTCGAGGGTGGTTCTTCATCTGCCTCTTTCCACCAGCAGCTCAGTGCAGGAGGTACCTTCTCTACAAATGCTGGTTTTCCCAAATCCTGGTAAGGATTTAGCAAGGCTCAGAAGTAAGACTAGCAAGGCTTACTGATGCATTTTGCACATAAAATAT